TCTTGCCCTTGCCCAGCTGCACCACTTTACATTTCTGTACATCAATTTTCCCTTTTGTGGGTCAAGGTTAGTCTTGAATTTAGAAGATAAGAAGAATACTTACGGTTCCCCCCCACCTTGAATGTTTTCATGAGTAAACACAGGACGCGGTGGCTGAAATGAAATGATTTTCAATGTAATCAATGTTTAAACTGGTACTACTTAAAAGATAATTTGGATAATGGCATGGCACTTTTCTCGACATTTAATATTTCCTGTTGTAAAAAACCAAGAGGAAGGAAAGAAAGCAAATAAAAAGGGTTTTCTGTGGGATTCATAATTAAAATATTTTGAAGGGTGCTTTAAATTAAATCAAAATAACCAAGGTCCAAATGGTTTGAGCACATCTACAATCTAGTCTATTCAAGCTTTAAAGAAGAGTTGGGGCTTTGTCCCATTGATTTTTTCAAAGGCCAGGAATATGGCAAGAACACGGAGAGCAAACTACCAGAATAGGAAGTATAGACACCTTCCCACAACGTTATTCTCCAGCATTTTCTCAGACAAGCAGAAAATAAACCACATTTAGTTTAACAGCAAGGTATCCACATTCATTCTTTCAACTTTTCCTTCACAGACAACATTTTCACATACAGTACACATGGAAATATAGGTAGGCAGACATCCCATGCTACATTTGAGTCAACATTCTCTGTTCTCAGTGTGGGGAAAACACATGCATTTTTAAGAAGAGAAAGCAGAGAACTTTAAATGCAACAAACAATATGCAGGTAACATGTAACATTTTACCTTAGAAGAGAAATATTGGTAGAAATTCCCCGTGCACTGAACTCTCAATAGAGTTTCTTTTCTTTTTAAACTAAGCATCAAGACCAGTATCTGTAATAGATACTTATAATATTGGAAATGACAAGCCTTAGCATCCCACATATCCACATTAAAAATTCAATGAATGAAAGTTAACATGTTTGTTGAATGAATACATAAAGTCAGTGTAATTTATACTGACTACCTAAATGTTACCTTTTAGGGAAAAAATGCATACAGTTCATTTACAATAGATTTTAAAAGCATCCTCTCTTCTAAGTGATAGAAACATAGTGAAATAAACTCAGAATCTGCATGGCAACTCTATCAGTGACTTTTTGGTGACGACTAATTGGTTATTAGATCCATGTGCTTAGACGTCAGGACCAGTTCTTGGATTTTCACACTTAATGGGTGGATTACCGACAAGTCAGATTTTTTTTTTCCTGCAAATTGCCGATAGAAACTCCATTAGACCAACGATCTGGCCCCTTCCTAAACTCTTTGCCTACCTTTTTTCTATTCATGCTTTCGATCATAAGGCTCGGCATTTATGTTACTAAAATTTCAGACTTTGAGTCTGGTAATTGGAAATATTTGTTAATACTGACAGTATTTTTAGAAATTTCATTCAATACTCTGGGTGTGGAATACTTAAAACTAATGAGTGGGTAAGAATTAGGAGGCATGTGTGACTTAAGAGGGTAAAATGGTTTACTTCCATAAATCAATATAAAGCTACTACCAATGTATCTATTATTAAAATTATTATATTTTAAAAAATGATTAAGACTGAATCATTTTCCAGTCATTTTAAAGGTCATTTAATTCAAGATATTATTAAATCAATTTAAATATACAAGTTAATATAAGCCTATAGCTTATTATATTTTTCAGGTTATCTTCTAATCCAAAAAAAGTTTATGTATGTATAAAACTTTTTGCAGAAGATCTGTGTATATCAATTGCCACTAATATTTTGTATTAATCACCCTGTCTTGTTTTTCTCTGTTTTTCCATTTTAAATTACTGAAGAACCATGTTCCTTCACATCCATGTCTATATATTATATTTTTCTTTACCATTTCTCTCTTTTTTGTTTTTGAGTTAATATTTGTCTAGTCTTTTTCATACTATCATGAAGGACAATGATATAAACATTTAATACAAAGGCCTATTTTCTTCTTTCAAATTCTTCCTTAGAATACATTCTCAGGGTAGAGTTTCTGGCCCAAGAGTATGTATTAAAGTCACATGATTTTGAAGAAATCCATGTTAGCCACTGAAAAAGACTGTGTACACAAAGTTACTTAAAAATGTCTAATGTGCCATATTTCATATTATATACCAAGATAGCCACTGTTCTCTCACCAAACAAAAAAAATCCCAACACCATTTGCCATGTGTAGCAAAGTCATAAAGGAGAAAATGTGATTTGTTCTTGTCTTAAGAGAAAATGTTTCATAAAATCTACTTCATTATACTCTAAAAGTGGTGAGTCTGTTTCTACACATTTAAGCCATTCTAGTATTTTTCAATTGAGTAAACCTTTTAACTTCTATGTCAGGGCACCCAGCGCTTGGTCAAACTGGTTGGTCTCATTTCATTGGTTCCTTGCGTTAAGATTTAAATACTATTTTAAAAATTAAGTTATTCAATGAATATAAGACAAGTCTACACTCCAAGTCTGTATATCCCCTTTCAGTTATCATCATTATAGTTTCGCTCATTTAATTCCTTTAATTTAACCCACCTCATAAATCATTTAAATGAACTGTCTCCTTGACAATTACGTGAATTGGGCCCTAGTTGCAAGTGTGTGGTTCCCTGAGTCCCACAGTCTCGTGCTCCAGGGCGTGGCAGCTGGCTTTTATCTGTCACTGCCAATGTATCTTTTTCTTTCCCTTCTATGCTTCAAACCCTGCCCCCTCAATCATCTGTTTTCTGCGCTGTTCACATCCTCAGGTCAGAATTGATCACAGCTTTTCTGAGCAGAGAAGTTGTACATCTCTTATAATGGTGAGTTCTAGAACTTTCTGAAGCTTAACGGGAACCACCTCCTTGTTAATGTGGATGACTAGAAGCCAGTTTTAAGGAAAGCTGACCAATCACTGTATTTTAATTAATTTCCTTTAAAAAGTATTTGACCAATAAAGGAATAAGTAGTGTTAATAGTTATTTATGAGGGCATATTTGTCTTTCTGTTTTTAGCGTTGATCACCGAATAACCTTGGGGAGGCACCTCAAGTCAGTGAGCTGCACAAGACGACAGTCTGACCCCTCGGGGGACCCCATGAAGGCGTCCTCAGCAAGTTTCCTCTGCTGGGTAAAGGTGCCTGTCGCCCACCTTACGCTTTCAGCTGCTTTCAGCTGTCTGAGAGCTGTGACAACGCCCATTGATCAGTTAATTCTCACGTGTCTCAGTCATTTAAAATCAACAATGGTAATAATTCAGCTTCATTTTGCAAATTAGTAAACAAAAATCAAAGATACTGGATACTTTTTTCTTAATATGACAAAAAGGGGAAAACCCTAAGAAAAATAGTAATAATTTTGGTTCACGCTCTATTGCAAAAGAGATTACTATGGTGAATAGAAGGCCCAACGTGGTTCAAGTCGTTTATTTTATGTCTCAGGCAGGTGTTCGTGTTCTACATGGGTATTCAAGCAAACTAGCTCAGAAGATGCTTTTCATTGTCCCCACGGGGCACCTCTACGCGCTCTCAGCGGACCTTGCACTACATCTGCACTCTGTCGCCCCCTAATGGTGAACTGTGCAGCAACAAGCTGAGAGTTCTTGCTTTTGCCTGGGTTAATTTGGGAAGAATATATAAATATTTTTAAATTTCAGATCAATACGAGGGTACAAACAATTAGGTTACAATGTCTGGTAAAATCAACTATGTTGATTTGTTAGGTAAAGTCTAGAAGAATATTTTAAATACCACAGAGTGATGTGGAATAGATACTTACCTGTTTTCTTGACCACGTTCTTCTCTTCCTGTGTTTTCAATTCTCTAGGTAGAATCCCTCGTAAGGCAGCAGTATTTTTGATCTGTGTTCATTTCCATTTGAACTACCTGTTTGGGCATTTCTATTACTCATAACTTCTTCTTTTTTTTTGAAGTTTTTGGCCAGGGCTGGGTTTGAATCCACCGCCTCCAGCATATGGCGCTGGCGCCCTACTCCTTGAGCCACAGGTGCCGCCCTACTCATAACTTCTTAACAGTTTTAAGATAAATATAGGACAGGCACACCTCCTGGGTGCGGGACACAACTACAACAGGGACCTTACCTTATAAATGCAAACATTGTAACCTAGTTGTTGGTACTCTCATATTATTCTGAAATTTAAAAAGATAAATATAGGATAATATACATTTGTGACATTCAGAAAGTTTTACGTGAACTTAAGAATGAATTTTCAGCTGAACACCTTATAATTACTGTGCTGGAAATTTTTGAACAAGAATTATATTATGCTTATAATTCCTTGATAAGCCTTAGAAGCACAATAAAAATTACAAAATCCAATGAAGCATCCTGCTATTTCTTTTTTTTTTTTTTTTGTTAGAGCCTCAAGCTGTCCCCCGGGGTAGAGTGCCGTGGCATTACAGCTCACAGCAACCTCCAACTCCTGGGCTCAAGCGAGTCTCCTGCCTCAGCCTCCCAAGTAGCTGGGACCACAGG